TGTTGAGTTCGGCCATCGCAGCACCGCGCTAAATATTTTCAGCGAGCGCATCGTAAAATTTGCTTTACGGGCGGCGACAAGGAAGGCCTGCTGGAGGGAGGAGGCAGGCCGGGGCCCAGACGACCAGGCCTTGTGTTGGGCGAAGCGGCCGGACGCAGCCCGCCACCACCGGCCTTGGCATTTTTTGAAGTCCGGTTTGATCCGATCGGATAACCGCGCTCTCCTGGACACACACACGCGCACACACACACTTTGGCAACTCCAGACGACAACGGCCGGTTGACTTCCTGGGGAGGTTTTTCCTAGGGGGTGATGTGATCCCTTGCGGATGATCCCCTCCACGTCGATCGCCCTGATGAAGGTCGTGTACACTGCCACCACCTCCACTCTCTGAAAGCGTATTTTGCCTCTCTCTCTCTCTCTCTCTCTCTCTCTCTCTCTCTCTCTCTCTCTCTCTCTCTCTCTCTCTCTCTCTATCGACCGCCCCCCCTTTTTTCATGCTAATCGTGGCGATTAAGCGCGGCCAGTGCGTTGCATCGACTGCACGGCTTTATCGCGAAATTGATCCCGACGCGATTTGTGTTTGGAGAGAGAGAGAGAGAGACCCGGCAGTAAATACGCGACGTGGCACTCGCCTAGTGCCCACTAAAAGTGCGGCGCGCAAAATTTTTATGGATTCGTGTCCGTGTGTGTGTGTGTGTGCGTGTGTTTGTGTGTACATAGGTGTGCGTGTGTCCGTGTATGTCTCTCGGCGTGGCCCGCTGCTGACTTACGGGGGAGAGGGAAAGAGACGAATCGGTCCCTGGGCCGCACCGTCGGCGCGCGGAAAAATAACGTCTGTTGTTGCCGACTAGGACGGCCGATGGCCCCGGATGCGTGCGTGCCCGCGTTGTTTCCGGCGGTCTGTCTTGGGAGGCGCGGACGTCTCATGGTTCGTTGGTCGAACACGCCGTGGGACAGGTGTGGCCAGTGACACTGGCAGTGTCGCCGGGCTGCTCCATCATGCCAGCAATAATTGTCGTGATACTCCGTCGTTTGTTTGTCGTGATGCGAACGGTGTGCGGGCGCCAGCGCGCGCCGCGATTCTGGTTTATCGGATCGCGCCGACCCGCCGTCTCTCCCAGGCACCGCGCTTTTCCGCGCATTGTGCCCGCCGCGCTGCTTGCCGCGCTGCCGCGCCACAGTTCGTCGTATCGGGACGCCTATTAGCGAAAGACGCGCTTCAGAGCAAGGAAACCTAACACGACGCCAGCGCGCACACTCACACGCACACACGCGCACACACACTGCCGTCCGTCTTTTTGGCGGTATTTCTCCCTTCCCGGGTGGATTACACACCAAAGTTTGACGGTGATGCGACGGCGCGAGGGAGCCTCCCCGCACCGCCCCTCCGCGCACCGCCCCTCCGCGCAGGCAAGTCCCGCCAAGTCCCGGGCGCGGCGCGGCTCGGCTCGGTTTGATGAATCGCACTCGGGGCCCCGCGCGGTTACAGAGTGTAGCAGGAAAGCAGATATGGCGGCGGGTATTCCATCAGAAAGCGCGCGCTGGGGCGGTGGAAGCGCTGGGTGGGGGGGTCGTGGACGTGGATGGGCTTCCCCTTGTGAAGCGATCGACGGCCTCGCGCAGTGGAGGAGAAGAGGGAGTCGCCGGGCAAAAATTTTGTGCCTCGTGGGAGAAACATGACGCCAGTTCGCTCTGGCTGGCCGCGGCCTCGCGAGCACGCCGCCGGTCGGACGAGCCTGCGCCTGCCTGCGCCGCGTCTTGTCCGGGGCCTCCCCGACGGCGGCTCCGGGACGTGTCCTGGTTCGCCATGCGGCGCAGCGCGCGCCCCGGGCCCCGGGCCGCGACTACTTTTGGCGGGACAAAACATATTTCCTGGTAAGACCGAGCGCCGCGGTCTGGGCCGTCTGGTCCCATCTCGGCCCGATCCGCCGGGCAGTAAGAAATACCCCCGGCGCGGCCCGCATTCATCTTGCCCTCTTGTGCTGCATTAAATGACTTGGCCGGCGGGCAGTGGGACGACGGGGCAGTGTCCAGACAGTGGAGCGGCTGGCGCGGAGGAGCCGACCTGGCTGGAGCGCGCCGCGCGCTGCTCCAGTTGCGTGCCTTTGGCCGGCCTCGGAGTCTGGAGCCATAATTTGCGGCGGGCTGCCACGGTGATATACTTATCGGCCTGGAGCTTGGTTGAGATTCCGCGCGGTGCCTGGCGGCCTGCCCCGGCCCGGGTGGATGTATGGCGATGGCACAGCGCAGCGCAGCACGCCGTCTATGCAGTGGCGGAGCAGACTTTGCCGCGCGCCCCGACCGACGCCGTGCTCCGCTGCGGGTCCGCCATCCGCGTCGCCGCAGGCAGTGCCTGTGCCTGGCAGTGCCTCGCAGTGCCACGAGGAAGAACGGCGAGATTGACAGAAATGGCAGCGCCGTATCAATATAAACACTGGCGCCGTGATGAGACAGGCAGTGAGAAATTGCGTTCGGGCGGCGGGGGGCGGCGGGGGGCGGCGGGGGGCGGCGGGGGCGGGGCTGTATCCTGTATCGGCGGGGTGAGGAGCGGGGGCGGCGAGTTGGCTGCCGGTGTCATTCTTAGTGCGAAACAAATGTGTGAGTTGCGCAGCGCCGAACGAATCTCGTTCAATCTTACGGCGGGGCGTGGTGGGGCGTGGTGGGGCGCGGCGCCCCCGTGGGGCCTCCGGAGGGGTGGAAGTGACGAAGGCGGGGGAGCGCCCCCCGGGCACGTATAAGGGAGGGGATTGAATGGCTAGGCTATATCACGGCTGGCGCGGCCGGGGCGGGGCGGGGCGGGGCAGGGGTGTTAGGGGCGGCCCATGCACAGAAATGGAGGTGGTGGTGTGTCGGCTCGCTGGTCAGGCCCTCCACCTGCCCGCCCATCCTAAATGTTGTTTTGTTTTCTTTTTGTTGGTTGTTTTTCTCATGTCCTTTTTGGCCACAGCCTTACGAAAAACGTAGGACCTTGATTGTTTGGCTTGTTTGTGTTGTTGATCGCTGTCGTTAATTTTTGGTGCACACTGTGTGTTTTTTGTTAGTTAGATGCTAGTCGCCGCCGCTAGTCCGCTTCGGCGCTTCGGCGCGCTTTGGGTACTTAATGAACCTGCGAGGTAGGCAGCCCCCCGCACACCGCACGCTTTAGGTTGCTTTGCGTAAACAAGGCGCGTAAAAGCGTCCCCTCCCCCTCCCCCTCCCAGTAAGAATGGCGCGACGGGTCGCATCGCTCGTCGTTGCGGGAGGGGCGGGGTGGGGGAGGTGAAGTCGTGATGTGATTACGGGAGCAACGTGTTGCTAACGCCTCCGCGCGTGAGTACACTGTCGAAAGTCGCCGCTTTTGTTTCGACAGCGAGTTTGTGCAGATTAAAGGGGAGCCACTGGCGCCGCCATCCTTTCTCCGCGCGTTTCGGCCGCCGTTTCTAAATGAATGTAAATGCGTCACTTGGCCGTATTTTTAATCCGCCGCCGGGAGAAGCTCAGACGGGGGTGGGGAGGGGGACACGCGCGGAGTGCGACAAGGATGCAAGATGCATGAATCCGTGTCGGGAGGGGAGGTGAGGCTTTCGTGTTGATTAAAGAATGAGGTCCCGGAGGCTGGCTGGCCGGGGGCGGCCGGGGGCGGCGCCTTCCGAGGACCGCCTTGGAGGCCGTGGAGGCGGCAGTCCCGGACAATGGTGCGCCGCCTCGGTGCAGGCCTCAATGCAGGCCAGACTTACACCTCGGGGGACTCGCTGGTGCCGGTGCCCCAGCGAAGAAGGTCCTCGAGATGAACGCTCTGCCCCACCTCGCACTTCCACTGGGAAAGGGAAAGCCCAGGACGAACACCAGCGGCGCGTCGCGGGACCGTTCCGCGTCCCACCGCGCGCACCGCGTCCCCCGCCGCGTTCCGTGTTTTCCGTGGCCGATGATTAGCGGCGTGTTTGTCCTCCAAGCCCCCGCCCCCTCCCCTCTTTCTCCTCCCCTTTCCTCCCCTCGCCTCCGCCCAATAATCCGTGCGGTTTGCTCATCGAATGATGGATGGGCCTCTGCTCTTCCCCGCCACGCCGGGCCCGGCGCCGCCCGGCGCTGTAAGCGAAGGGGCAAGATGGAGAGGACGACAATCAGATCAGCGAGGAATGAAGCGTCGCCGTGCCGTGCCGTGCCGCGTCCCCTGTGGAGTCCCCGCGCCGCCACCGGTAGTCTGGCAGCGAACTGGAGCAGGTGGGGGCCGGGGGCCGGGGGCGGCGGGGGCGCCAAGCTTTCCGCACACGACCGGAAAAAGGAAATGGTACCTTATTGTGTCCGCCCCATCCCCCGCGTGTTCTCACCCCCCAGCTACTCTGTGCAGCGCTCAAGCGTAACGCGGGGCGGGGGAGGGGGAGCACACACACACGCTCACAAATACACACACACACACACTTCGCCACCACTCCCGCGCGGCTGTGCGTTCGGCTGGATTTGGAAAACGTCCCGCGCTCGTTGGGCGGGAGAAGTTGTGGGCGTTGTGGGGGGAGGGGGGCCGCGGGGGAGGGGGTGTGGAGCAGGGAGCAGGGGAATCAGCTGTGTGGGGTTGATAAAGAGCTGGGCCGCGATTTCTGTTCTCTCGCCTCGCCCCAGCGGCCCTGGGCGGCCCGGCCCCGTTTCGTCTGGAGGCTGGAGGCCGGAGAGCGGCAGCAGGCCTTGCCCTTACATAATGGAAGCCGCTGGGGAAAGGGGTTGGTCGGCGAGGCCTCGACGAGGACGAGCTTCGAGTCGTACACGGCGAGGGCGAGGCGGCGGGCGAGGCGGCCAAGGAATGGGGTGCGAACGGCTCGGGCTGTCGCCGCGCCGCCGGGGCGGGGCGGGGTGGGGTCGCTCCACGGAGGGGGCCGTCCATTTAGGGGAGGGCTTTTCACTCACCGCCTCTTTAATACGATCGTTCGCGCTGCGTCATCGCGCACGCGGTGAAGGAGAGCCTCACCGGAGTAGCATTGTGTGGATTTGGGTTGTGTTGACCGGTGTCTTTCCCTCTGTTCCAGCTGCCGGGTGGCGGGGTGTCGCTGACGCTGGCCGAGCTGCAGGACATGGCCGCTCGCCAGCAGCAGCAGCTTGAGGCGCAGCACCAGCTGCTGTCGGCGCGCGAGCAGCGCCTGCACTTCCTCAAGCACGGCCCTGCCGGCCAGCCGGGCCAGCCGGGCCAGCCCGCCGGCCATGGCCCCGCGGACGGCGAGCGGCTGCGGCGGCTGCGCGAGCGCGTCGAGGCCCAGGAGCAGAAGCTGCGGAAGCTGCGCGCGCTGCGGGGCCAGGTGGACGGCAACAAGCAGAGCAACGCGGCGCTCAGTAAGTATGCAGGGGGAGTGCACAGTAACCCTAGTGCACAGTGGGCCAGAAGACCGGTGGAGGCGGCCTAAACTCTAGACGCGCTTTGAGTTCCAGAGTCTCTAAATGGGACCGAATCGAACGTGTGACCCCACCAATGGATTGCTCTCCGAACGAGGAATCCATTGGTGGGGTCACATGTTTGATTCGACTCCTGTTTAGCGACTCTGGAGCTCAAAACGCGTCTAGAGTTTCGGCCGCCTCCGCCGGTCTTCTGGCCCACTGTGGAGTGTGCGCAGGGGCGGGATTCGTCGGGCGCGGCGTTCCGGAACCGGAGCCGCCACTCCACTGCGCGAGCGTAATGCGCCAGAGCCTTTTAGCCGAGAGAGCCGCGGATGCTGCCGGCCGCGCGGCCGAATGCATCCTCCATCCGGCCGTCAGCAAGAAGCCCGCTCATCAATAAGGGCGAACGGACGCACAGGCAGCCAGACAGACAGGCAGACTGAATGCGAGAGCGCAACAAAAGAGTGCCGGGCGGCATTAGGCGTACGGGGTCAACGCGAGTGTGGCTGCCAGCGGGGCGGGGCGGGGTGGCCGGGCCCCAGGTGGACACAGTCTGTTTATCACGCGTGCCACATGGCGTTGGCGCTCGCGGCACCACCGCCATGCCGCTCCATGCCGCGCCACCCCAGGGCCTAATCCAGCATCCGGGCCGCAGAAACAACGCGACGGCGGCGTTGCATCCGAAACTAGTTTGGTGCCGCGCTGGCGTAGCCTGGCGTAGCCCGCCTGCCCTGGGGGCCGTGGTGCGTCCGCGCTGTCCCACCGACTGAATCCCTCGGCGCGGACACCCCCCCCCCTCCCCTCCCCGTTGTCCAGGCTGTTCCAGGCCGCCGATGCGCCGCCCTTGCCGCCACACCTGCTGCTCCTGACAGCGGACTTCCCCAACTGCGCTTTTAATCCCAGCTGCAGCCCCGCGCCTGTCTCTCTTTCCGCGCCCCGCTCCCCGCAGCGATGGCCGCCCACAGTCCGCCCACAGTCCGCCCACAGTCCGCCCTCCGCCCACGCCGCAGCGCTTCATCCGCCTCGCAGCGGCCAGGGCTCGGCAGAGCGCCTGCCGGGTAGGCAGTGTGCTGGACAGCAGTGCCGCGCGGGCCGGCCCGACCAGCACGGCGCTCTCTCGCACTCTCGCCCTCATTAGAAGTGCGAGGGAGACAGAACGCCGTGTGTGGAAGGCGGAGGGCCGGCCCCGCACTGCACCGCAGCTACGTGACGGCCTGCCTCGCCTCCCCGGGGAGCACGACGGCGACGGCCGCTGTGTGACAATCCGGCGGTCGGGGCCGTTGCCGGCGGCGTGGCGGCGTGGCCGTGCGGTGCGGGCGACATCTGGCGGTCGGTGCCGCAACCCGAGGGCTGCCGTCGAGACTGCCGCGCGCGGGACCAATTAGCTTCCCACGAGCATCATTACAAACTTTCAGTCCTCGCGAAAGAACAAAAGAAAGCGGCCGGCGGTCGCCGCTGCTTAGCGCACTCTGCGTGATTGCGTCGCGCGTGGGGCGTGCATCCGTCTTCTCTCTCGCTCGCCCGCCGGCCTCCCTCCGCCCCCACAGGCGAGTCTGTTGTGTTTTCTCCTGGCCGGCCTCGAGGGGTTTGTACCTACCGGGGTGCGTTGGTCTCTGGTGTGTGTGTGTGTGTGTGTGTGTGAGTGTGCGTGGGCGTGCGTGCGTGCGTGCGTGGTACAAGGGTTCGCGGGCAGGGGGTGGTGGGTGCCGGAGCGCAACACGATGTACCAACAAAAAGTTGGCCTGGTTCCGGCCTGCCTGCCTGCCCTTGGCCTGCCCCGCCCTGCCCCGCCCTGCCCCGCCCTGCCCCGCCCTGCCCCGCGCGGACTCGGCCGGAGTTTTCCGGTGGCATGACTACCACTACCAGCGCGGCATGACTCCGGCACCACTCGCCACCTGCCGAGGGGGGGGGGGGGGGCTCGCGGCAATGAGCATGAGCGCCCCGCGCAAACAAGCAGCAGCAGACTCGCTGTCGCAAAGTCACGTTCACTGTCCGGGCGGGGCCGAGTTGAACCCTTCAAACACACTTGAATGTAGATTCAGCGCGAGGGCGCCTCGGCGCAAAGCGCCTGGGGCCTTATTTTTGTGTTGTGTCTTTCTTTCCTCTTCTTCTTTCTTTTTTTTGTCCCCTCGGCCCGCTGCTGGAGGAGTTCTGCAGGACGGCGCAAGGGCACGGCGACGGCGGCGCGGCGGCCTGAAAGGGGTTCTCTCTGTCTGATTCCCCCCCCCCCTCCTCCTCGGTGTCGTCCTCCTCGCCCCAGACCCCACACGTGCGGTCTATCGGCCCATATTCCCCCTGCTCATGAATTTGATTCGACCCCCGCGTGAGGCGTGGCGCGGCGCGGCGTGGCGTGCGACTGACACGCGGTCCGCACCTGTCCCCGTCGCGTGCGCGCGATCTCCTCACTCCCGTAGCCAAACTGCCGGAAATGGAGTTTTCTGTCCCGTTGACGCGGGTTTGCCTAGCCGCGCCGCGCCGCCTCGGAATACCCGTGTCGGTGTCGCGTCGCCTTGGCTTTCCCTTTCGAGTGAGTGAGTGAGTGAGTGAGTGAGTGAGTGAGTGAGTGAGTGTGAGTGAGTGAGTGAGTGAGTGAGTGAGAGAGTGAGTGAGTGAGTGAGAGAGAGAGAGAGAGAGAGAGAGAGAGAGAGAGGGGGAGGGGGGGGGTTGTCCGGTACAGTCGGCTGGCTGGCGCTTTTCGGCATTAAACTGGAATGGTGCGGGAAGTGGAGGTGTCAGTCGGTGCTTCCCTCCCGCCCCGCTCCGTTCTCCCCGTTCGCCCCGCTCGGGCTGTCGAGTGCCCAGACGAGGCAATGCTGCGCAATGCTGCGCAATGCTGCGCTGTCACGTGGACTCGACGAGACGAGTAGGACATGTGCCGAGGCGAGGCGGGCGGGTGGCGGGGACGGCCTCGCAATGGCGTACGTATCGCTTAACCAGGGCCGCTTGTCGTCTGCCTGGCTGCTCGAGCGGGGCGGGGCCGAGGACGGGGCGGATGAAAATGGGTTATTTTTATGCTCGGCGGACTGGAGACCTGCTGCAGGTTGGCAATTCAGTTTCCGAGTAGTGCCGTTTTTTTCCAGCCCGGTGGCTCCACTCAGTCCCCACCCCAGCCCTTCCGCCCCCCGTCGGCGTTCCGGGCGAATCTAGTATTCTGGTCAGGAAGCTGCAGGCTTTATGCTGTTGCTGCTGCAGCCGGCGCCTTTTCTTTCGCCAGGAGCAACAGCGCAACTTAGCGTCAATAAAATATGACTTCGGTGGACTGCAGCCCCCGGCAGCCCCGGGGCGGCGGACAGGACAGCCGAGCTGACACCGCTGACAGTGGCCGCGACAGCTGACACTGAACTGACCACTGAACGCGCACCAGCTGGCCGGCAACAGGGCGGCCCGGCTGGCGGGTACCATCCCGCGCAACCCTCGGCAGAGCCCGGCAGAGCCTCAGGCACTACTTCACCTCCTCCGGAACAACGTTGCGGCCGCAACACAATGGCGATGGCCTCGGCGGCCTCATCGGGCAGGTCGGCCGGCTGTCTGTGATTCGTCTTGTGTTGGCTGCGGCCGGCGGGCCAGCCCGGCCAGCCCGATGCAGGCGTTCCAATCCAACAAAGTTAACTTGTTGTTTGTGGGGATTGTGCGGTTCGGCCGGTTGGGTTTGGTTCGGTTCGGTGGGGCCGCGGCCCGCCACGGCCGCAGTGTGTAGTGTAGTATCGCGCTAGCAAATTCCCCGCCCAGTCCGGAGTCCCGGCCAGAGTCCCGGCACGCCCAGCGGCCAGCCAGCGCGGCAGCGAGGCAGCCAGCCCCCGTTCCCCGCCCCCTTCAAATTGAAACCCACTTGTTCTGCGCCGCCGGGGGGCTCTGACCGCGCCGATGGACCTCTCGCTGCCTTCGGGCATCCTGGAGGCACGCACACACACGCCCTCCACACACCACACTCACTTCCACCCTCTCCTCGTGCAGCTGTTGGCCAGGTGCTCGCATGCAGGTGCCGGCGCGCCGTGTCTCCCACAAGGCCTTGTTGAATAGTGTAGGGGGTTCGCCTGGTGCCTGCTGTCGAATGCGTGCCCGTGCGCACGCGTGCCCGTCCGAGATTCGGCCGGCCCAGTGTAGGGCCCGCCCCCTCAGGGGCCCTGGGGACCTGCGGCGACCCCGCCGAGCCCCACCGCAGGACCGCGCGCCCGGCCTCGAGCGGACAACGCACGTGCTCGCTCCTGACCCTACCCAAAAAAGGAGTCAGAGTATTACGTAGAATCCGAGGTGGAAAATGAAGCTGCGTGGCATGCGTACAAAACACGCCACCTTTCCTGCGTGTGACACGGCAACATCACGGCTTATTTGCGCGTAACGAGTCTGACTGTCTGAAAACATTGTTTAGCCGTGTGGTGGCTTTGAATGCGGATCGTGGTGCGCCCAGCCGCGCCAGCCGGTGTGTGGGCCGAGTTGGGAGCAGTCATGGCGCACCGTAACTGTATTATATGGATCAAGTTTAAGGTGTCCCCTCTAACTTGTGTGCGCCGCGCCGCCCGCGCCGCCCGCGCCGCGCACCTCCAAGTTATCGTGCAACTCGCCACTCTCCGCCTCGGCCGGCCGGCCCTGCCCTGGTCCTGGTCCCGGCCGCTCCCGGCCCGGTCTCGTCGGGGTGGTTTCCGTCCCGGGGGAGGCGACTCTTGCGAGGGCCTGGTGGGCCTGGTGGGCCGGGCCGTCGGGCAGGAGAGCACCACTCCCCTCCCCACCCTCCGGCACGCCGAAAGCCCTTGTCGCCCCGTACCTCTTCTGGTGGAAAACCAAGCTAGCTGCCTCCATCCCCGATACGGCGGGCAGCATGGTGCCTGGGGCCCGGGGTGGTGCGCGGTACTGCGCGGTACACCGCGCGGCCCCAGGGCGAAGCCGGGCTGGCTTCCCATTGTGAGCTGGACGGCGCCACGGCACGGCCACCGGCGCGAGCCTCTCTGTCGCCTCCAGTGGCGTGGCGAGGCGGGCGAGGCCCGGTGCGCCGTGTGCATTCGGACGGGGAAGGCAAGGGAAGTCAACGCGCTGCTTTTTCTTTGTTTGTCCTCCGCCACGGACCGGCATGGGCAATGCGCGCGGCTGCTTTTGTTTAAAAGTAGTCTTCTTTCACTCCCTCTCCAAAACTCCGGCCGAGCCGATGCGCTGCGCTCCGCGTGGTCCCCCGCCCCCGCCGCGGCCGCGCGACGACGGGCCGACGGGCCGACGGACAGACGGACTCCCCGATCGGCGACCGGACCAACTCTGCTAATCTGGCAGCCAGGCCGCCTATTTTGCGGGCCGGCGCACTCCGCAAGTCACGCCACGCCACGGCGCGCCACTCGGGATTGGGCTCTCGGCTGAAGCGCTGATTACCGCGAATTGAGCAGCCCTCGACTCGACGGCCCTCGCACAGCGCGCGGCCCGCGGCGCGGCACTCGACGGCAGGGGCGGGGCGACCCGCTGGCCGCGACCAGCCGCCACCCGCCGCCACCCCGGTCAACGCGTTTTCTGCTTCTCTGAAACTGCTTGATGGCGGTGTCCCCTCGCGCTCGGTGAGCGGAACGGAACGGACTCGATCGCACGCACACAGACACACGCACGCTCCTCGGGTAGCGCTCTGCCCTGTGGCCTGTGGGCTTTGGTTCGTTATCGTGAGTGGCCGAGGACCGTAATCCCCCTTAAACGAGCCCCCGAGCGCACGGCAGGCGCTCGGAGCGGCGTGCCATCCTTGCCGAACGTCGGCCGCGTCCTCGAGAAGGGCCTGCTGGCCGTGCCGCTGGATCGTCGCCGGCCTCTTTGCGGTGTTGGGGGTTGCCTTCTCCGGGTTCAGATTGGGGGCCCGCCGCCCCGTCCTGTGTAGCGCGCTGCCGGCGGGGCGGCCAAGGACGCCGAACCCCAAACCGTGCGACTAGACCGTGCGGGCAGGCCGGGTCCGAGCCTGAAGCCTGAGCAGCGCAAACACCAGCGGGGCGCCCCCCCCCTCCCCCGCTCCTCAATGTCCGCCCTCAACTTGGCGTGGCGACGCTCCGCTGCCTCTACAGTTTACTGTTGTGTGGCAGTTTCTCATTGCATGAGTCAATGGCGTCCCACCCCGCCCCGCCCCGCCCTGTCGGCTGGAGGGCCCAAAGCTGTCCCTCCCCCACCCACCCTTCGTTCCTTTTCACCGAACCGCCACCGCCGCCGCTTCCTCAGAGATGCAAATACCCGGGGCTCGTCTGTTATTGCAATGGAGTGTCTGTTGGGCGTTTCGGCGGGGTTCCGCCCCTCCCGCCGTGGCGTGGCGTGGCGTGGCGTGGCGTGGCGGGGATGGGGCGACATGTCAGGTCGGAACAAGTGGCCGTCCTGCCCAGGAAGTGGTGCGCGTTGCGCTGCCCGCCCGTCGCGGAATGCCCGGCGTGGCATGGCTTTTCGGATATTTCACCGGCGGGGCGGGGCGGGGTGGTGGCGGGGGCAGGCGCGGCGTCAACTCGAGGCAGAAGGCACGGACAGGGCCGCCTCGCTCTAAACAGCACAACAGCCCTCGAATAAAACGAAAAGGGCTACTTGCGCTGTTTCTTTTGCTTTCTCGGCCGAAAATGAACCTTCTGAATTATGGAACGGGGTACTGCCGCCGCTCGTAGTGCCGCGTCCTGCGCCGTGCTCTTGGCGTAAAAATTGCAGGGATAAGTTTAAACGAGGCAGGCCGAAGGCGGCACGGTTTTTGTTTAATGTTTTAGAAGAGCTCAGCGGGCGTCTGGCGGCCGTGCACCCCCGAAGCGCCCGGAGGCCGAGGCCCGGAATCAGAGGCCGACCACCGACTGCAACCGGCCTCTGCCTTTATTCCCATTCGGAATGAGTTCGCGGTCAGCGCACTGCAAAACACCGCGGCGCGCCACGCGCACGGCTGTCGCCAATTTATTTACTTTTTTAAATAAAGAGAGAAGTGGCGAGGTTGTACACGGCCAGCAGACCGCCGCCCTGAAAAAGACCATTATCTGAACAAGGCTCTGGACGTGCTCCCCCTGCCCCTCTTGAAGGGCGTGGTGTAGGAGGGGCCGAGGCCGGCCGGGGCACCGGGGCAGGTTAGGGGGCTCTCGGCACCGGGGCGGCGGGCTTGATGTAGCGGGTGAATGGCGGCCGAGGCGGCAGCCTCTCGGAGTGACCGCCAGCACGCCAGAGAGTCGGCCGAGTCCGGCGGGGAAGGGGGAGGTGGTCTCGGCCTCGGCCAGGGTCTTTATCGCGTCGCCGCAAAGCGCCCGGAGTTTGGCTTGATTTTCGCCACCACTCAACGCTACACTGCCAAAAGCAGGCGACGCGGGGAGACATTTGTCATACAGCGTGGGGGCTTTGTGGACATTACCGCGTCGAGTGCGGTGGCGCAAGTTATTGAAAATTGAAAATAAAAATTATGCGAGTGCATCTGGTGGACGACAGCGCCCCTGGCACCCGTCCAAAATAATTTTTTCACGCCCGCCACGCCACTGCAGTGAATGCAGTGCCTCTCTCTCTCTCTCTCTTTGCTGACTGTTGCCCCCGGAATGAATTAGGGGGTGGAGATGACTCCGCAGCACTCCCGCCGCCCCCTCCGCTGGATAATCAGTTTGGCCGACGGCTCGTCTTTCGCAGCGCTCTGGCTGGCGGTCCTAAAAAGGGCAACTATTCGCGACAAGTCTCTTTCTTTGTGATTTTCAGTTTCATATTTGAATGAGCTAAATTACGACATTCTCATCAAGGAAGAGTAAACTCGGCCACTACGTAGGTGGGAACGTTTCCCGGCGGGTGCGCGACGTCTAAGCCGTCCATGATTTGGATTGCGGCCGCAGCGTAGGTGTGCTCGTGCATGTGTGTGGGTGCGGCAATAGGGAGCCGGCCGGGGGATGGGGGCAGCCTGGGGCAGCTTATCCCAAGTGCCCACACCGCCACACCGACGGGGGGCGCCAGCAGCCAGCGCGCTGTAGCGCGCAATTCTCCTCTTGCCGAATGACGCCACCGTAACCCCTCCCCGCCCCGCCGCGCGCCTCGCCAGCGCATACACGTATTTCATGAAGCTCGTGGCGCGGTAGCGGCGGCGCACAGTGCACCACCTGACCCGCGCGTTAATGCCACTGGCGCGGCTTTTAAAGGGGCTGCAGGCCTTCCGCCGGAAAAAGAAAAAAAAAGAAAATCAATGAAAGAGCGCGTGGCTTCCGCGCGTATTTTTTCATAGCCGCCACGTGGTGGTTTTTAGGCGCGCCCAAACAAACGGTGGAAACTTTTCCTCTGGGCCGTTTTTCGGCGAGCGGCGCGATGTGCGATGTGCGCCGTGCGCTGTATCGGGTGGGAAACGGCATATGGCGGGCGTCCGCGGCGGCCGGTGCCCGGCAGTGCCCGGGGATGATGACGATGGTGATGAACTTGATGCGGGCGGCAGCGGGGACCAGCGGGGACCACGCTCCATCACGCGGGTTAATCCGCATGAAAGCGAAGCAGTGGTGCAGGGAGGAGGGCCGTCGGTCCCGAAGGTCGCCGCGCCGCGCCCCCCATGCGGGTTTGCCCGCGCCCCCTTTGTAATCCCGACACCGACCCATCGATTGGCTCACACTCGTTTGACAATGGTCCCGTTTGTGTTGCAGCCTCGGACCTGGACTCGATCCGCGCCCTCTTCAACGAGAAGGAGAAGGAGCTGTCGCTGGCCGTGGCCAAGGTGGAGGAGCTGACGCACCAGCTGGAGGAGCTGCGACGGGGGCGGCAGAACGCCATGACGGGCCAGCTGCCCGCCTCCATGGAGCTGGACAAGCTGAGGCGAGAGCTCATGGTGAGTGGCGTGGGAGCGCAAGCTTGCGCACTGCGTGCAGTGGTCTGGCGGGGCAGCGTTTCTGATGCTCTTTTTTCCCTTGTAGTACCGGAATAAACTCAACGATCAACAGAACATGCAGATCAGCCATCAGAGAGAGACCCTGTGTCAGAGGCAGGACGAAGTGAACGAGATCGACCGCCGGATATCGGAGCTACAGGAGCGCCTCCACCGGAAGCGGCTCCTGAACCAGCAGCTGGCCAACCAGATCACCGTCGCCAACAACAAGGTGGTGTCGAACACCAATCAGCAGAATCTGAGGTGAGTGGCCATTGCGGACTGCGAGTCTGTTGACGGAAGGCTTGAGGAGGGAAACGATGTGATGTGTATCATCCCATTTTTTTTTTGCAGATCGTCACTATTGGCTGCAACGAACCACCAGCAGCAGAAGTACCACGACCAGAAAGTGTTGCTTTCGAACGCTGTGAAAGGTTTCAACAAGCAGCACCGGCCCCAGTACCATAACAACAACACGAACTGCGTGGATACGTCGACAGATTCTGAGAAATCGTTGAACAACTATTCACCGCAACCTCACCAGAGCCCCATTCCTGTAAATGCTTATCTCATAACTAGTGCGCAGTCCCAGAAAATTGCATCCTCATGTCCGGATGAAATCACTGCTCAGGTTTGTGTAACTCATTACGTGGCTGCGCGCTTTCCTTGAAATGGAAATTTATGGGAGTGTCATTGGCAAAGTCCGTGGGTCGAATCTTGAAATGAGTACGGAGCTCTGATTGGTGGCAATTGCGGCCCAAGGCGCTAGCGCCTGTGAAGTCAGGGATAGGCAGCGCCGCACGACGCGCGAGTGCGGCGGCCGGCCTACCCCTAACATTACCATTACGGGCTAGACCTCGGTTCCTCTCTTATAACTGCTTACTTGATGATTTGGTCCTGCTTCTAACATCTTTTTTTGTTTGTCTTCTTTTTTACAGCTTCAAAAGCCGATGCCACAAGAACCTCAGCAGCCTGAATTACGATACGGGGCTTCGCAGGATGATTTCCATATGAAGCTGCAGCATCAGAAGCAAGCTGCTCGGTTCCCATCCCACAATGTTAATATCAACAAGAATTGCATCAATAATAATAACATACCCTCTAGTATAAATAATAATGTCAGCGCGAAGAATAATGCTGCTCAGTCAACGACTCACTCAAAGATTTCTATTTGTGACGAAGAGAAGGATGATTTTCTACTAGAATTTTCAGGCAACAAATCGGATCCAAAATATCAAACATTGCCTTACAAATTTTCCCCAAATTCAATACCTACTTCAACATCTTCATTACTACCAACTCCGGTGACAGTTAGTTCTAAATTGCAAAAGGCCGAGAATAGCAGCAGTACAGAAGGAATAAATAAAGGAAATGTGCCCTCTGGATCAGCACGAGGAGTTTCACCTTCACGGAGCAATAAAATTCCAAATGCAGATCTTCTAAGTCAGCACCAAACTTCCTTCAATAAGCAGCAGGCCCCTAACTCATCAATTCCAACTTCATTAGCCAACCTTCAACCTAGGTACGCTGATTGACAGAATATTCTGAAACTCTGTTCAGCACATTATTGACATTTCTCCATTATTATATTTATGAGAATTTTCAAGCTTTATGTCAGCTCATGGAAATATGTTTTCTTACAGAGTTTATGGTGTTCCGACTATGACACAGAGTGGGGCTATTCTTCCCAGAGGACAGCCAGTTGGAGGATCCATTTCAACATCACCTGCCAGCAGTATCAGTATTTCTAATTCAACCCCACCGAATAGCTCAGCTAATCATCAGGTAAGTGTTCTCTCTTATAATGTGTAGTGGCTTAGATAAGTAAAATATAGTGTATGGGTAGTGCCTATTCTATATTGGGTGGTGTTATATTTGTTTTGAGGTTTTGGTTTTTTTTTGTTCTGAGGCAGTGGTCTGTAAAAGTCACTTTCTTCCTCTCTCTGTCCTCCTCAAAGTAATTTTGATTCTTTCTTTCAAAAATGTTAATTTTATCAAGACAGCTTTTTAAAAAAAATATCTGAGAATCATCTGGTTTCGCAGCCTTTGCTTTTTACGGTGAACTGAACAATAAAATTCCAAAGAAAACCAATAAAGGCTTGCTAGCTGTTCATGTGCCGGTGAACATCTTCAAAATAATTTTTAATGTACAATCTATGTATTGGATATTTTTTGGTGGGGTGGCACTGCTTTTACCTGCAGGAATACAGTATATCTCATTCTTCTCTCTTATGTGTAGGTTGGTAATGTGAGCTTAGTGAATACAGCTCCATGTGGTCCTGAGCCGAACACAACAGCCAGTTGGGCAGCAAGGGCAGCGCTTGGCTCTGTGTCCTCGACTATTGTCACTGCTGCTCCTACTAACTTAAGCCAAGCCCCCACCTCCACTACGGTTACTCTTTCTCCCCCTTCTTCAACTAATACCAAAGCTTCTTCGATCCCTGTCCTTACTCCTGTTTTGGCAACATCGGCCATTTTGGCTCCTGCCAAGCTGGATTCTCTCAGCCAGTTGACACGGCTGCCCGTTGAATCAGGATCCGTTGTGTTGCCTCCTACTCCACTCACTCTGGCTAATCAGGTGAGAATGTGGATGATACAAAATCTTATTTCACACAAGTAACTTCCATCACATGCTGTTTCAACCGAAAGATGCTTTGCATGGTAAAAATAATGCACGTACTGTATTTAGATGATGGGATTAAGACCTAAGTATGCATGGTTGCAATATCTTATTCATATTTTTAATTTTGAAGTGTAAAGTCTGAAATGTTAACTACCTCATGTTCGTAACAAATTTCCTATTTGTATCTATGCAGAAGCCAGTAAGCAGTTTATCTTCAGCAACTTCCGTTCAACACCAAAAAACATCTCCCATTTACCAAACATCATCAACCAAAATACATCCAATCCAGCCTCAGATTTTGAGCTCAACACCTCAGGTAACATTCTAAAAGCGTTCAAAAATTAATAATTACTCATGTTTTATAAAGAAGCTTTGCGTCTAATTTCAAACATGTGTTAATTTTCTATTTGTTTGGCTGCTTCCAGGGAGTTTTGAAGGACTTGAAGGGAGATATATCACCACCTCAGAGCAGTTCAACACCACTAAGTACCCCAGAAGTTTTATCTGACCAAGGCACTATTGGAAAACCAGCCCTTCCTCCGAAACCAGCTGTTCCAATCAAACCAACGCCCCCTCCGAGGCAAACGCAGCACATACCCCCATACCAGGATGGGTCTTCGGGTTGGCCTGGATCAGCATGGGCAATGAGCAATCAAACCAGTGAAAATGTCAAATCCACTATTGACATTTCTTCAGAGGTGACTGAAAATAATCCTTTGCGAGCTAATGTCTCCATTTCATCGAGGTACGTACTCTTGCCATATTTAACTTTTATAATGAGTTTTGCGTTTGAAAAATGATTTTGGAAGTTCATAATTTTATTTGTTTTTTGTAGAGGTGGAATTCAACAACCCCAAAATCAGGCCCAGAGCCAACAAATCCAACCCTATTCTGAAGGCCTTGCTCAGAACTCTAATAATTATAATCAAAGTCATCAAAAAGATCCGTTGCATACATTGCAAGACGCTTTGCAGGAAGCATTGCAGGATGTTGATGATGCAAATGCCTCCACATTGAGTCCTCCTCCACCACCAACCACAGAGCCTCCAGAGGAAGTTACAAGCTTTTCGTGGAGGACCAACAATGAAAACCAATCATCGAAAACTAAAACTCCTTTACCTAAAAAGCAACCAGCAGCTGATACATCAAAGCACCTTAGCAATTCATCAAATGTAAACTCTCTTTCAATGCTCAACAATAACATTGTCAACAATAATGGCAATAATGTTGTCAGCAATAACAATTGTAATAACAATTCAATGCATATGGTGTCATTAAGCCGACGCATTGAGATGCCTCCAGCATTCCTTTTTCCTGAAAATGAAACCCCACCTGCTGATCTTATTGCAGCAAGAGATGACAACCGGGTAAGTTCTTCATGATATCCGTGCAGGAATGTCACAGTGATCATCCGATAAACATTTCTAAGCTTATTCTGTTTTCTATTCCAGAACACCTCTCAAAGTCAAACCGGCAGCAGCACTTATGACAGTCCATTGGCGCAAGATGAAACGGACCGCATGATGCCACTTGGCGGAACAGATTGCAACAATATTTCAGATGATAACAATAAACAGCTTCACTCCCCAGATGACACAGGAAAGTGCGTGACCAATATTAATGACATTGAGACCATGAATAATCTGAATACATCAGGACCTCAGCTAGATGACATTCAGTCAGTCATAAGTGAAACAAAAGGTATGGAAAAGTTTCCTGTTATTGTTTCTTTCTTCATAGGGTTGAGATTTAGAAAAGGGCTTAATTGTTGTTTCTTCTTACAGGAGATTCTTCTCCTCTGCATATAGTCAGGAGGACTAATAAAAAAGGGAACTTAAAGTCAGGGAAGATGTCAGTATCAGGTTCAGGATCTCGGAGGGTGAGTTTCGATCCACTTGCCCTCCTTTTAGATGCATCACTAGAGGGAGAGTTAGAACTTGTTCGAAAGACTGCTGGTCAGGTGTCAAACCCAAGTGCTGCAAATGATGAAGGAATCACTGCTCTTCATAATGCCATATGTGCTGGACATCTGGATATTGTTAAATTCCTGGTTAAATTTGGTTGTGATGTTAATGCTCAGGATAGTGATGGCTGGTAAGTAGAAAGACAAGTTTTGATTGTTCCATGATCCCATTTTTTGGGTCTCTCAACTATGTTTCTTCTCCATTTTTCACTGACAGGACCCCACTACACTGTGCTGCATCTTGCAATAATTTAGCTATGGTTCGGTTTCTGGTGGAACATGGGGCATGCATATTTGCTACTACTCTCTCCGATCATGAAACAGCTGCTGAGAAATGTGAGGAGGATGAGGAAGGCTTTGATGGATGTTCCGAATATCTTTACAGTAAGTTAACTTGTTTCTAAATGCAAAAGCATAAATGAAAGTACTCAATAATATTTGGCATCATGTGTCTTTCAGGTGTTCAAGAAAAGTTGGGTATACTTAACAACGGTGTTGTTTATGCTGTATTTGATTATGAAGCTCATAACTCAGATGAACTGTCATTTCACGAGGGTGAAAAGATGGTGGTCCTCCGGAAAGGGGATGAGTGGGAAAGAGAATGGTGGTGGTCAAGACTAAACGATCAAGAAGGGTACATCCCTCGCAATCTTCTAGGGGTAAGTGTATCTTTTTGTTTTCCACTTCATCTTGAAAAGACGCATAATTTAAAAAAAACACAACAGTTAATTATTTTTAATTTTAATTATTTTTAGCTCTACCCAAGAGTGCAACCTAAGAAGAATTCAGAATGATAACTGGAGCTCTCTCAAGAACTCTACCACAGAAATTTTTACACTATAATGATTGTACTCCCTCTTTGATTGATTTGAGAAAGAAAACATTAGGGACTTCTAATGCTTTTCAAATGTTAAATTCTTTCTCTCTAATTATTTTCCTTAAAATGGATGAATTATGAAATTTTTCTTGCACAATGTGTGTGAATATGCTAAACAGACAATAACTGCTGTATGCATGTCAATCATTGTTTTCTCTGGCCTCACAATTCATGGGATCAACATTTTTGGTGCCTCAAGTAATTGCTTAGCAGAAATTTTTCAATGTTCCAAGTAATTTGGTTGCTTATGAGCCCCTCAGTAATAATTCTTGCAACCACTGAGCACATTTTTGTTGATATTAATTATGGCCTTTAGAATGTAGCAAATAGCTTCTGATATTACAGCCTTCAGCCCTTAAGTTCAAATTTGACAGGAGTCAAGTTTCTAAATAAGTTTATTGACCCTCTGAGGCATTTGGTACGTATCCATGTGTATCTCGTCCGACCAATTGTGAGATTCTGTAATCTTTAAGATTGCAACAAAAGTAGACATCATGTTTCTTTCTTCTGAAATCAAGTTACTAATGATACTAACTATTGAACAGAACACTGTTTTAGCTTCAAAAAAGGCTGCAGGCTATAAGGAGTATAAAATTAAAGTAAAATGTAGGCAAGACATTTTTTTAATTTTTTTAAATGATGTTACAAATCTATGATTAGAATTTTGTCTGAATTCCATGCTTTTAACTTCTATTTCTAGAATGATATCAAATTGGTTTTCAAACCGTTTTAAATAATATCTAGTTACATGAATAAAATGTTTCATGCCAGAAATCTATATTCTTTCTGCAGTATTAATGTATTGAACTGTGGTTAGTTAAGAGGGCTGCCATGCTACTGCTTACGTTCTGCCAAAGAATGACAGTTCTTACTTGTTTAATAAGTTAAAAATGTAAACCTGTAAAGAAACTGATGTGCCTTTATAAATTATGAATTGTATATATGTACAAAAGAGAAATGGAATACTTGTATTAATTTTTATTCTGGAGAATGTGAATACGTTTTGTACACAATTTTATCTTCAGATTATTACATAAGGCTGTTGATTGTAAGAAGTATATTTTTACCCATAAGAGACTTAATTGATACTAGCTGTGCTAGTCATTCATTATTTACGTTATATCAATAAGTTGGAGGTATTTTGTTACTTTCGTATGCTACACCGTCTTTAAAGGCGGCTATTGTTCATTCAAATTAGGCAGAAAACTTATTAAAAATATGTTTTATGATCAAAATGTCTGCTGAAACAACAGATCAGGAAATTTTATAAAGACAAGAACAAATCGTGTAAAATTAAACATATCACTCTGTGAACAAATGCTCATTTGACTTGCACTTTATTAGAACCCCACAACCCATGAATGACTGTCAGCAACAAATTACGCTCAACTAAAAATTACAGAGCTTTGGAAAAGAATCATTGGCACCCTGGCCAGCCCAGTGCCAGGTGCAAAACACCTCTTGTTAATGGTCATGAAGGAGTGTTACATAATTTGAAAAAATTTCATCACCTTGTTGAATTTTTCTGGTTGCAACAAGAGCAACAGTTCTCAGGTGTCTTCCTCTAGGACCACTATACCAAATATTTGGTAACAAATAATCTAATTCTGGTGGAAAATTTTCAATATCAAACTCTTGATATGCAACATTTGGCGGACATTCTTTGGTTCCATTATTAACATACTGACCAATATTCCAAGGAACAACGGGCTGCTTTGTAATCCAAGATGTGTCAGCAGCTCGATACTGACCAAATGAGTCTCGATTTACACAAGAATGAAATATGCTTTTAGAGAGAAACCTGTCATTCCCATCTACATGAATTCCATCCATGCATCGGAGAATGAACTGGTTGCCTAAAGAGGGAAGTAACAGCGGTTCAAAGCGTCGATAGAGTGTGCCAGGGTAAAATGCTATCAAGTCTCCCTTTTGCGCAGAGCCAAGAGACAACACTACACCAGTCCCACCACCCTTTAAACGACTCTTCATACGCTTCACACTGTAACCAAGAACATTTAACATGATAGATTCGGTATCAATCTCAAGAGATTTTCTAAATTTCTTGTCTAAATTATAGGTCACTTTCAATACAGCTTTTTTAAGGTCCTCATCAGAAGCTGTCTTGTCTGTCGACACAGCCACCACTCGTCGTTGAGCAGTTTTGATGTTAGCGGCCATCCAAGGGACGAATCGATGACGATAGTTTTTCCAAATTTTAGACAGACTACTATCCATCTCGGAAATAAGGGAACTGAAGGAAATATTTTTGCCACAACCACAGGTTGAAGAACCGATGGAGCCGATAATCTGTGCGCCTGACCCTTTTAGCATGTCATTGACTGGACAGTTGTGCCGAGCCGGGGGAAAAACTCCCTCACCCCCACAAAGGCCACGAGCCCGAGCCTCTTTTAAAATCACTTCTTGAAACTGTAGCGTACGGCAGACATAACCAAAAAGCAAAACAAACAATCAACAGCTAACAAGGGTGGTAGCCGTGGTAGCCTGGAAGCCGCAAAGTTGGCAATACGATTCAGCGCTATATTCAAAATGGCAGTTCAAGGTTCAAAAATGTTGAGGTGAGAAATGAAAGCATCATCAAGGACCATTGGTTGGGTCCTCAGTTTCGTGTTCCGCCTCACCGCTGGCATGTATGTGGGGAAGTATAGTCTCGTGATAGAGTTTGTTCTTTTGGCTGTTAGCCAATAAAGTCAACATTGACATTTTCCGTTTTTGCCACCTCTGTCTGGCAATTTTCCATTTTATTCCATTTAAATAAATCAACAATGTTGATACTTCAAGAAAAGTTTAATAAATAGAGCTGGAGATGATTTTACAGTTTCATTTGCTCTTTGTTTCTTAACTTTAATTGGAAGCTTTGCAGCCATCATTAGCAGGAATTAAAGCTGTGGCAAATTTCTTTTTAACATCCTCATCAGTCTCTGTTGATTATATATATTTATTTGGCACAACTTAAAAAAGAAAGAGTTTTCCAACTATTTTTTTTTTTATGACAACAGACAACAATATACACAGCAAAACATTATGGGTACTCTCTTGGTTTGCGCTACTTCAGGAACTAGAAATGCCTATATGTATTGCAATAGAAGAATGTACAATTTTACTAAATGTTCATTAAACGTGAGGACATCAGCAGTATACGAAATTGGGTTGGTGACAGAATTAAAATTACATCAAATATAGGTACAGACACATAAATGCAAAATCAGTCACTTAATGATTCCCCCAGCCAAAATTTTGATAGTAATATTCATGCAACAATTACTATGTATATAGTGTATGCCGTTTGAATTCAAAACAGAATTTTTCTAAGTCAAACCTATATCAATGACTCATTTTACAATAGCTCCAAGGAGCTGGCTTCTGATGCCAATTGCACACAGTACTTTACTCGGTTATACATACAATATTGACTTGAATAAATTATTTTTAAAAATACATTTGTACACAATACTACAAAACATAAGGCCACAAAAAAACAGTACCAGCATAGCTAACATGATCGATGTTACGGAATGAATTATAAAAACGAATGTGCCCGTGTCCTCTTATTCAATGATTGAGACAAGTCTGCAAAGTCCCTCATTTCCTACTTGGCACCACAAAACACATAGTATAGACACACAGTTACATGCAAACAATATTCTATGAAAGAAATTATTTACATAGAAAAGATGAATAAAGCACTGATGAGCTAATAATTGGTAACATTTAGGCTTTGGAACAAGGCAAAGCCTCACATGTAACACGTCAAGCAGGGAAGCAGCAAAAATGCATGCATGTTTTAACAACGTTTAAAGCAATTTAACATATGTAAAGTTTACATGAATTAAGGACACCTTTCCATGAGTACATAAGATAAAACACGAAAATGGGGCACTATTCTGATCTTAGTGCTATCGGTACAGAAAGGCATATTAGACATAAATATTGCCAAAGTACTTTTATCATGACCATTTTAGTTCTATAAATGACAGATGACCATGTGTTGCATGAACTATTACTCATGGAGATCTACTGACGACGATTGTTTGCAATCAAAACTCTTTCGCGACTGTCCTCCCTTGAAGTGCTTTCCCGTCGAGGAGGGGAGTTTCCATTTGCAGACAGCCGGGATTTTACCCTACTCCTTTTAAGCTTTGCCATATCTTCATTGAAAACGTCTCCTGTACGAAGAGCAGAAATGAGGTCGTCAAATTCACCTTTAGCATTTTCACCACTGCCGTTAACTGTTTCTCCTGCTTCTTTGTTGTTATTTTTGCCAAGACCAACTTTAGACAATAAGCCGCCTTCTCTACTATTTTTCCGATCCATTGTCCTCTTTTTAAGCTGAAACAGAATTATTCCAGTTGAAACAACTTAGAAACCTCTTAAAACAGTATGACACCAAATTTAAAGAATATTACCTCTGCTTCCTGTTTTGTTCGTCTTTCTTCCTCCTCCTTTCTCCTACGGAAATTTTCGTTGTCTTGACGTGCTTCATTCAGGGATGTCAGGAATGAGTCAAAAATAGCAAAGAAATCATCAGGTTGAATTGTTGAATTATCTTCTCCAAACAGACGCACAGCACGGTCAAACTGTAATGAAATAATTTATAGTTATTGGATGAATTAAAGAGACAGTAACATAAATTAGTCTCTATTGTATAAACGAATGATTGGTTTGGACTTGGACTTACTCTTGTTTTCATGTCCTGGAAAAGATCCTCAAGCTCTGAGAAACGGCAGGTAGCAGAAGATAAAAATTCTTTCATCACAGGGAGGAAACGGTCAGCTGGCACATTGTTTGATGTTGGCTGAGTTTGAGAGCGATGAAATTCTAACTCCCTTTCAACTTCTTTAAGTCCTGTTCTTAAAGCAGCCATGTCCTTTTCCAACTCAGCTAGGCTGTAGAGAAATATGCAAGTGAGTTAAGAATACCAACTGGAGGTTCTAATATAAAATTATTTATTATGTTCAGACTATATGCAACTTACCTCACTTTAGAAGCTTCCCTAGCATGTGGGATATCTTCCTCTAATTTGAGGATATCTTTAAACTGAAAAAGAGAAAAACAGAAAGGTAATATGCAAACAGACACTTCTAGATCCTGTTTTATTCCAGATGAAATAAATTCTCTCATTACCTTCTTTTCCAAGATATGAACAAGGTAATGAAGTAAACTTGTCCCTTTGACAGCACTTGATTTTGTGTCATGAAGTCTGTTAAGTGATGCCAGTCTGAATCCCCATGCATTTCCTCTAGCACCACGATTCATATAATTTCCTAGAGCAAGCACCAATTCCAGTAATCGACGCAGCCTCCGAGATCTTGCAACTTCTCGAGATGCTTCCATAACAGCACGAATCCTGGGCTCAACTTCACCGACAGCAACACTGAAGCGCTTTTTGTAGTGCAAACTTCGAAGACGCTGTTCATAGTGAGGTATCCTACCAACAAGAAAAAATTTAACAAAAAATGAATTAAAGTAAATGATTACGTTATAGTAAATAATTGAGGAGTCAACCTAGATACTGACTTAGCAATTTCATAAAGGAATCTATCTGCTCGAGCTAAGCTGTCAATTTCTTCACTGTGTTCCTCCAACAAAGCAGCTTCTTCAACGCTGGGGGTAAATTTGAGTAACTGTTCAACCATATCAATAGGAAGTTGATCTCGGCTGTCCATACTTTTAATAGCCCTGAAAGGAAATCAACCATAATTATTCATGTTAGAATTGAGATTTATTTTTTAAAGAGTTGATTTTAGATCACATATAACATACTTGCATATATCTTCGTCAGACATTTTGAGTTTGGATAACAAAATGGTACAGTTCTGCGCCCGGCGCGCATCTATCACAGATAATATTTTGGTTCTTGTTTTACCCACTTGGCGCAGGTCTTCAACTGATCCATCATTCTGAGAATATCAAGATATATAATTAGCAACTGCAAAAATAATCAATGAGAAGTAGTTTCATCATTACTCACAGCAACTCCATTCTTCTGATAAGCACAAAACAATTTGTCAATGTTTTCCAGTTCCATAGCATTGTAAAGTTTAGTGTCATCCAACTCAGACCAAATAGTATTGACAACCTAAAAAGATTATAACATAATGAGTACAACACAAGAAATTAAAAGGACCAGAAACTCCAAACAAGAAAGGCTTGGTTTTACCTTAGCATCTGGCAGCTTGGACCAATTGAATGACTTTAAAGGATTAGCTGGCTGAGGCACATTCTTGTTACGGTTCACTGCTAGAGGAGGAGCCATGGGTGGCGGTATGCATGATGAGGGTGGTGGTGGCGGCATTCCAGGAACAGGGGGTGGAGGCGGTGGGGGTGCAGCCATGGCCATGGGAGGAGGAGGGGGTGGTTTCACAGCAGGCTCAGTCTTCTGATTCAGATTCACAGGTGCATCTGATCCCAGGGTACTGCTTAAGCCAAGAACCTGAAACAAAACATGAAATAATTCTGTTAAAAGCAGCAACTTCCCAAAAATGATTTAATATGACTTATTAGAAGTCAAAGTTACCTTAGCATCATCTGGCAAGCTGCCAGAGCTGACAAGTTGTTCAAGTCTGTGCCTTTCCCCACGTTCACAATTGGCTTGATGCTCGAGCTGAATATTTCTATCTTCCAGTTCTGAAACGCGGGCTTTCATTTCAAGGTGGGCGGCAGTTTCTTTCTCAAGCCTTTCTTTGACACGAGTCAAACTGGCCTCCATATCTTCCTGTACTCCCATGAAGGAGGAAAAAGTATTTTAGAGATTTGACACACAATATGAAAGTAGATAACTTTAGAGTGAGAAAGTCGTACCTTTTCCTGAGTTCGCAGATCTAGCTCCTGCTCCTTCTTAGCCAATTTATTTGATATTTCATTGTTTTCTTTTTCTAACTCCTCAGCCTTGGTTCTAGCTGCTACCAACTCCTCTTCCTTGGCAAGCCTGAATAATGTGGGGGAGATGAATAAATTCTATTTAGATTTGTCATTTACAGGGCAATGTCAACATATTCCTCATTACTTACAAGTGCACTATTTCCTTGACATTAATATCAAGAGGAGTAACATCAGGATTTTCAGCATTTTCTCCTTGGAGTACAACCTGCTGGGCGACTCTATCCAATAAGAGCCAATGTTGGGGGTGTGAGCCATAGTCAACTGAAAGTGATGTAATTCGATTGTTAAAGAGTTAAGAAATAAATTTATCTAGTGAAACTGAACGATTGAGTATAAAAATCTACAACAGAACATACGAGGTAGGAGAATTAGATGGTGAAGCAGTGACAGCAAGTGTGGATAAGCCGCAGTATGGCTCAGTTTCCGTCGCAGAACTTCAAACATGCTACTTGCACTCTTTGTATCAATGTGCTCCTAGAGAACAAGATCAAAAGAATCAACAATGTTGTAAATTTTAGATAGGTTTACAGCAATGCACAAGCAAACATGTACAATTTTTACCTTCTCAAATTTCCGTGCAAGCTCCTTTTCATCTTCATTTCGCACCATTTCAAAAAAGTCTAAATGCCTGTTTAAAGACAAAAAATATAATTTGCATTGTCAATAAAAATATGTTTGTGAATTTATTAAATTTTATTTATTTCAACAATCAAGCTTCTACCTGTCCAGAGTTTCGTTTTCATGGCTTCTTAATTTATCAATTATAGGCTGGATTCCTAGCATAAGAAATTCATATCGAAGATGGAGTCTGAACTCTAAATTATCTTGCCCAGGGCCATAGTTCAAAACAGCATTGACAAATGACATTATTGCAGTTTTTAAACTAACTTCATCTCTATAAATTCCAGTGCTACGATCCAAATCATTAACTATGCCCTGCAAACAAACACATAAATATGAGAAAAGAACAAAGATACACAAAATAAAATTTAAATGCATGAGCAGCTCATTCATGTTACCTGGAATCTGGTTCTTTCAGACACATGTTTCTGATAGTGGAGCATGGCTTCAAGAACTTTCCTATGACCGCCAGGAACAAGGCATACAGCTCCTAGAATCTCTAACACAGCCACTTTTGTCTTAATATTTTCTGTGCTGAGACTTTGGGCAATAATATCAATTCCAGATGGATGTGCCAAAACATGTGCACGACCATTCGAATTATTCATTAAGGCTTTTAAACATCCAATCAAAGACGTGTGGAGAGAGCTTTGAGCTGTGTCGTAGTCCATCGAAGAGAGTAAATGCAGGAGGGCAGCCAGGCCGTCCAGCTCCACAAAGCGTAATACAAAGCTGTGAGGCTGGGTACGGAGAGCCGTCTTAAGACCATCCAACTGACGGGTTGCTGTTCGAACTTCGTCATTGCTGTCTCCTCCTGAAACTGGGCTCTGCAAAGAGAAAAAAACATGTAGATTAAAATGTTGTTTGCAAAGCCAATCGTACTTTGACAAAAAAAAAAGCTTTGACTCACTGCTGAAAGTTGCTGGAGTCTTTCCAGGTAATGCTCTGGGAGCTGTGATAGGTCAGTTGAGCCACCTTCCTGATCCTAGAAAAAAAAAGAAAGTATAATAAAGACAAAAAATAGCCCCAATAGTGCAAAAGGAGAGAGGGAGGCACCATTACCTTCTTACGGCTACAGTAGATCTGCCATTTCTTTTCAGAGGGCAGGCTAAGCATCGCAGCTTTGTTGGGGGCGGTGAGGTCCAGCTCCTCCTGCAAAAGTCGACAGAAACCACCATCATTGACCGAAGCCTAGCGAGCGCAAGACGGAAGAAACTCAAGCGATACCCACCACGAATTCGGCGAACTTGGCATTGAGTTCATCCTCGGCGGGCATGGGCTGGGTGGGCGTGAGGGCTTGCAGGGACAGGGTGCCTGTCTGGTCCACCACGCAGTACGTGATCTCTGGCGGCTCGTCATTCTGAAAACAAACACGGGAAAATTAGTGTGAATGGTGATTAAATTGCAAATTCCTCGGTAAAAAGACACGAACTAGAGGCACAGTTTCTCTCTCGACTTGATGAGTTTTGCGTCCCCCACCCCCGCCCCCTCCCCGCGCTGCGCCGCATTGCCAGGACGAGAGAGTGGACTCAGCTGGGCGGCCCATGGGGCGGCCGGCCTGTGGTCCACCGACTGCCCAGTCCGTGGGCCCAGGCCCAGGCCTAGGCCTACCTCAACCTCTCCGCTTTATTATTCAAAGTAATAGTCTGGCCACGGTACGCCCGCGGCGCGCCACGCCTGCTGCATGCGTGGTCCCGGTGCCGTGGCGTGGCGTGCTTCGCCGCGTAGAGCGAAAGGGAAACGCTATCCAGGGACGTGAGGGGGAAGAGGGGGTCCTCTGTAACCAGCAGCCATCACTTGCACTTTCCGTACCAAACCAGTTCTGCCCCGCGCGCCGCCGCGCCCCCTCCCCCTCCCCTCCCGCGCGCCGCCGCTGGCCGGCCACGCCGGGGAAGTCGATGGATGCGACCATGTGTGAGTGTGTGTGTTTCGCCAAAGGAGTTTCCGAGCCGCGACGCCGTGCTGTGGTCAACCATATAGTAAACACAACAACAACAAACGCCGTGGCCGTCCACACAAAAAGGAGGAGGAGGAGAAGACAAGCGCGCTGGTGGCGGCCTAGAGGCCTAGGCAGGGAAGTCCCGAATGGAAGCACTCCGGTTCGGCGGGGCACGTGCGGCACACTGTGCTCACGCCGTGGACAGCAAAAGTGCGTGCACGTCCTTTTCAAGCCTGCCCGGCATCGACCATCGACCCCCTTGGCGCGATGCGGGGGGTGTCCCTGCGTGGTCCCTGCGTTCCCTGCGTGGTCGGCGTGGCCACTTTCACGCTGTGCTGGCGGTGCTGGCCGGTGCCGGCCGATCGGGTCGAGGGACGGCGGGGCGGTCCGGCACGATGGCTCGATACGGTCCGGCCGGCCGCCGTTCCTCGCCCACAGTGCCGCGGTACACGCGGCGATGACTTGTGCCAAATCAGCGAGCACGCCATCGTGGTCGTCATGGCGCCGCGGAGCTTGCCGCGGAGCCCGGCCTTAGGCCGGCGCCCTTGGAGCGCCGCGGAGCGGGCGCATTCCTAACAGTGCAGTCTCTCTCGCGCCGCCTGCGAGTGCGAGGGTGACAGAGTGGCGAAACCGACTGTTGGGAACGAGCCTGCTGACAGAGCCAAAAGGTGTGATCGCGGATCGCGTCGCGGATCGCGTGCCCGGCGCGCTCGTCCTCGTCCTCCAGGACCGCAAAGGACCAGCCTGCTCGCGCCGGCGTGCCTAAGGCGTGCCGGTGCTGTGTCCCAACTGCCGAGTCCCCGCCGCCAGTTTGCGTAAGGACTCGGAGGGCACGAGCGGCCCCGCCCCGCCCCGCCCCGCCGCCACGACAGCGCGGCGCCCACGGGAGGATGCTGCCGGCAACCGGGGGCATCCCGTCCCGTCCCGTCCGCGATAAGCGGGACGCGCAGGACGCGCAGGACGCGCAGGACGTCGGCGACAAGGACGCCGGCCAGGCGTGACACGCGGGCGTGGCGGCGCAGCGGACGCAACAGGCGGCCAGCAGCAGCGCGATGCACGAGCGCGATGCACCCAGCCAAAGACTTCGTCTCTCCGTCTCTGTCCCACTCGTGGCACTCTTCACAAGGGCGCGAGAGCGACAAACCGATCGCTCGGCGCAGGCACCGTTCCAGACGACAAGGTTGCTTTCGTCGCTCTCGTGCGTCTCTCGGGCGCGTCGGAGGCGAGCGAGAGAGACAGAGCCTACGCTGCAGAACGCAGTGCGTGCGTGCTGGCGTGGGTGGCGTCGTGGCGACCACACAGCGACGGTCTGCATTCCATTAATCACGTCCGTTCAACCTGGCCAGGCCCAGCCACGCACAGCCAGGCACAGCCAGGCGCATTATCCAACGCGATAGCCCACCCCACCGGCCGCTCTGTGCGGTCCGCCGGGTCCGACAGTGCAGTGACCAAGCGCCCAGCGCCCAGACAAGTGGGCCCGGCCTTATAGAGGCGGGGATGCGGTCGGCCGACAGCCGCCCAAAGGACAGCAAAAGAACGAAAACAAAACAAAAAGCAACAAATTTTATGGTTCGGTCTACTAAAACCCTTGTAAAAACCCTTGCTTTTCATAAAACTTAAAAAAGAGACAAAAATTGTTTGGACTAGGTGGAATAGATAAATTATGTTTCAACGACCGTGGCTGTAGCGCCTGGCAGGTAGGCAACAGCGGGCGGCAGGGGACACCGGTGTCTTGCGGGGCGGCCCACGTGGCAGGGGCTCCATTACCATTACCATCAAGGGCTAGACCACACATGATCGTATGCCATTTCGGGCCCGACACATGCCCGCCTGCACTGCAAAACGAGCCAGCTCCAGCTCCAGCGCCCCAGCTGCAGACAGGCAGAGGCACGCCGCGCCACGGCGGCAGACTCCAGCGGCCAGCCACACCTCTGGCACTCGGTCACGCACGCCCGTCCGCACGCACGCACGCGTGACGCGCCTCAGCGTCCGCCTGTGCGTGCGTGTGCGTCCATAAACCTTTGCTTCCTTCCGGCACTCATCGAACCACCACACTGCACTAGCAGTGCACTAGCACTGCACTCGCACTGCACTAGATGCACCCGGCGGGCGGCCTGGGGATGGCGTTGCCTGCGGTGGCCTGCAGTGGCCTGGCGGTACCTACTCGCGTTGCGTGCGCTCAGGTAGCGGCGGCGCGTGGCGGCGCGTGGCGACCGTTTTGTCCGCGGGCTTCTTATTAATGGCCCCATGTAACGATCCCCCTTTCCCTTCCACCTCCCGCGCCCACACCTTCACACTCACACACACACTCGCCGCAAACAACGCGGCCAGGTGCGTTAGTACACTGTAGGCAAACAGGCCACAGTTGCGAAATGCACATAAAAATGCACTGCTCCATAAAAGTACAGCTTGCTCGGGATTTATTTTTTTGGCGAGGAAAGAGTCAGCATAGCCTTAAAACTGGAATAAGAGAACGACGGTCGGGATAAGACAATGACGGTGTCCTGACGTGGTGGCGGTCGTCCGGGCGAAGGACAAGGACAACGGAACGCCGGCCGGGGGTTGCAGTGTGGCGGACGCGGCGGACGCGACACGAAGCCGGCCGGCCAGCCGGACAGTGCATTGGGAAACAAAGACTGCAATCTGCAGAACGGGACGGGAGGAGGCGGCAGAGGGCCCGGTCCGCTACATCCAGCCAGCCCTGCAGTGCTTCGTCGCTCTGTTCTCTCTCTCTCTCGCACCCTACACCCCTCGCCAGTGCGGGGGAAACGAGGCTTCGTACTGCTCCACCCCATCACGGTCCTTTCTCCGACAACCGAGTGCGAGGCGCCGAGACGGAGTCGCGGACATCAGAGTCCACAGCAGCCAAAGCTCCGGCAGGGACCCTGTCATTACGAAACCCCCGATAACCAGACAGAGACAGAGAGACATCCACTGGCCACATCCCTGCCTGCCCGACTGCCATAAGCGGCGTGGCGCCCGCCCGGCAGGCCCGGCAGGCCCGGCAGGCCCCTGCTTGCGGTCCGACCCAGTGCCGGTCCTGGCGGTGAGAGTCCCTTCCCGGCCCCGCACCCCCTCGCCCGGCCCCTCGCCCGGCCACGCGGAATGCAGGCCGATCAGCCAGGCTTGTCTGTCGCGGGCGGGGCGGGGCGGGGCGGGGCGGGGCGGGGCGGGGCGGGCCCCCATGTGCGACGGCTCGCTTTGCGGACTCTAGAGCGCGCCCATCCTTGTTCCGCGCGGCGGGCGTGGCGGTCCTGTTGCCGATGACGGACTAATGATACTGCTGCCGAATTCGCAACGCGCGCACGTCGAGGACCGCGCCGAGGACCGCGCCGAGGACCGCGCCGAGGACCGCGCCGACGGCCTCGTCCTTCTTCCCGGCGGCGCGACGCCAATGGGAGAAAGGCACGCGGCCTATCGCGGCGTGTTCCTCCAGTGTCGTGACGCGGGGCGATGGCGGTGCAGCGCGGTGCAGCCGGTGCGTGTGTCACTGCAGTTGTTGTTTCCACCGCGGTTCGGCGCGCCGCTCGCGTGCCTCGTTTTGGCGTGCCCCCCGCGGCGCCCCCCCACCCCCACCCTCCCCACGCCGGGGCGAGCTTTTCGGCGCGCCACTAAGCGCCCCGCCCTCGCCGCGGGGCCTCGTTTTGCCCGGTCCGCTCGGTCCGCTGCACAACAGATGCGGGTAGGGTTACGACTTCCTCATGCCAAAATTCCGCTCCGCCAGCCGGGCCCGGGGCAGCAGGGGCGTGCGGGGGAGGGGGAGGGGGAAGTCGGAGTTTGAAGGTTGGCCAAACTACCGTACGGCCCGCCCCAGCGCACTTTCGCTGTCCCGCGCGTTCAAGTCTCCCAAACACACGCCGCGATACGCCGCGTCGAGTGCTTTTCCGCCACACACAAACAACAACAACAGTGCCAGAAAAGCGACAGCAAAAACAACAACAAGAGAAAGCCCTTGGTGTCGGGCCAGGGCACGGCAGGGCGCGGCTCGCAGTGCGGCGACGTCGCGACGTGCCCCGGGTGACAAGACGCGGCCGCCCGCTTTCTTTGACCGGACGGCGCTTCGATTGTTGTTGTTGGCGCGCCACTGGGCGCCACCATGGTGCCACTGGGGCAGCGGGGCGGCGAGGGGGAGTGGCGGACAGGACAGGACACACTGAGGAGACCCCCATGCCATGCGACACGCGGCTCTGCGCGCCGCGGCGGCGTGCTTTCCGATCCGGGTCGCCTTTCCTATCTTCGCCGCGGCTTTGGCGTTACGGCTTGCCGTCCAAGGAAGCCACCGGCAAGGTAAGCGACGACGCGATGCTTTCTCCCACCCGTTCCCAGGGCATGCAGTCATTCATTTTGGTATTTTTTTCCAAAGTAAATAGAGCAGCCGAGTGCAGTCTGATGGATGCACTGGGATCGGCCAGGCCGCCACACTGTTATTAATGGGCGGGGCGCCGTGGCGCTGCAACACAGTGGAGTGGCTTTGTCTCGACTGTACTGCTCGCTGCAATCGAGTAGGATCACGTTCCCACGACGCGGCCCGGCCCAGCCCTGCCCTGCCAGAGGGGAGGGAGAGAGAGAGGCGACAAAAGTGCAAGCAGCACGTCGTCAAGTCAAGTCAAGTCAAGCGGCGAGGGCTGGGCGGCTGGGCCGGGTCGCAGTAGGCATGCACCTGTCTGCAAATGCCATCCGCGTCGCCGCAGTGCCGTTTGCAGTGTGCCAGAGACCACACCGCGTCACGGCCCGCCAAGGCACGCTCGCACCCACCACAAAGGCTTATCAATTTGTAACAAACTTTTTTCTTTCCTCCTTTAACGAGCGGCGGCTTAAGCCCGGCGCAAGTGAGTCACACGTAAGTGGCGAGGCGAGACGGCATAGCATAATCGCGGCGAGCTTTGTGGCGGGAAGCGCAAGTCACCGAAGCTTCTTAAACCGCCGCGCCGCGCTCGCTGCGCTGCCGGGCCGCGGCGAGCCGCACCGGCCGCCTGGCATCCTGCGGGCACACTGCACTGCAGGATGCACGGACCGATGGGCGACGCAGGCAAGGCGAGGCAAAAGCAGTGACGCAGGAGGGGGGTAATCCAGTAATTGCCCACCGAGGCTGCATCCCTTTTGTTGGGTCCCCACCGACTTCCCACACTGTAGCTGGCAGCCTTGCCAGCGGCAAGAGCAGCTCAGAAAATCGAAGCGTCTCTCCTCTCTAGATTCCCTCAAACTATACGTACCAGTCAGTCTCGCACGTGCACTGTCACCTGTCTTACTCGTGCAAATCCCGTCCCGGACCTCTCCAGCCGCGCTCTCCAGCGTCTCTCCACTCCAGCCCGCTCTCCACGCGGACTCGTTAAACAAACGGCCCGGCCGCCCCCGCGCTCCACTCCACACAACGCGTTGCGAGTTGCGACGTTTGATCCGCAGGGCCGCGGAGTGAGTGGAGCGGAGGGCCGCTTGCGCAACACTCGCATTCTCTCCCCTATTAACACTCGCGGCGCTGACATTTGCGCGGCCCGTTTAGTGTTATGGCGCGCCTTCGCCCGCCTCGGCCGCGGAGCGAGTCGTGTCACTCCGCGCGTCAGTCCCCGCGTCAGTCCCCGCGTCGCTCCCAACGCGCGTGGCGCCTCGCGGAGCCGCGTAGCGCACCGCGGCGAAGCCAGTCCGAAACGAATGCCAGTGCCAGTCCTACACCCACCCAGCCCCCAGCACCGCGCCGCACCGCGCACCTTCGTCGATTTGAACCGCGAGGGGGTGGGGTGGAAATGCCACGACAAGTTTGGAGGGCGGGGGGGGGGCACCCGCGCAGCGAGGTGCCCTCTCTCTCTCTCGCTCCCTAGGTGGCCGGCGAATGTTGGCACTTCCATAACGCCCCCGCGGCGCACTGCGCCGCACCGCGGGCGGGGCGGCCCCGCCAGGCCCCACCGCCTTCGTAAAACAACGCCGTCATCATCTGCTTCTCCTTCCCCCTTCCGCGGCTCCGCGGCGCAACAAGGAAGGCGGTGCGGGACGGGAGAAAGGCGGTGGAGGGTGCAATTCGAAAAGACCATCGCGCGCCCCGGTCGAGTATCCAGCAGGCGAACGAGTGAGTCAGAAAGAGTTTGTTGCGTCGCTCTGTCTCTGTCGCACTCATGGAGCTCTCCGTCAGGGAGCGAGAGAGACAGAGCGCTCGGCAGGGGGGCGCGGCGTGCGACGTGACGGCATCCAGCGCGCCGCGCGGTCTTTGTCACTGTTCGTCACGCGGTCGGACAGAGGCGTCACGCCGGCGTCACGTCACGTCAGGGACAAAGCATGACGCCCGGATTGTCAGCCGGACGACGGCCACTCGCCGACCCTGCACTCGACTTGCACCAATTTCTCATACTTTGATTCGAAAACACAGCGCCGCCGGACAGTGTAGGTAAACAAACGGGAAGCCAACCTTGTTTGCGAAGACCGAAATCCTCCGTCGCTTCGTGGACGCTGCTTTGGCCGGGCCGGGCGGCGCCGAGCTTCGCCTCCTCTTAATTTTGCACAAAAAGTTTTCCATTTCGCCGAAACAGCAGACCAGACCACAAAGGCCCGGGGCTCTCTGCTCGCCGCACCACAACACAACACGACTGACCCCGCGCCCGTGCGCTGCCGGCTTTGGGCTGCCAGCTCGGGCGTGCCGCCGCCAGGCCGCCGCCGGCGAAGGCGACGACAGCCGGCCGCCAGTGCTGACAGCCAGCCTCGACTATGAGAACTCTGTCAGTCGGCTGGACGGCTCACTGCAAAAGGGAAGCCCCTCCCCTCCCCGCCTCCAGCCAATCAAACAGCTTATCTGGAGATCTGCCGCCAAAATTGGGCACGCCGTCGTGAACAACGGCGACGTCATCCGGGTGACGCACGCGCCCTGCTCGTCCTGCGACGTCAAGAGGCACCCCGTGCGCTGCTGCTGTTGTTGCCCCGGGGGGAGAAAGTCCCGGACGCGGCGATCGCTCCACCGCCGGCCAGGGTCACCCATTTACGCCCCGCGAGGATATGCCGACGAAGCCGACGTATCGCCAGCCCCCCCCCCCATCTCCCCACGGCACGTCGTATAAATCGCCGTGTTTTAGCGCGCGCGACCTGCAAGTCCTGCAGCAAGGCAGCAACAAGGCACGCCGAGCACCGCGACGACCTTCATAACTCACTCACACTTGCAGTGTAATAATCGCGGGAAAATGTAATGCCGCTCGGGGATTGATGCCTGGTATATCGGGATGAGCGAAAGAGAGAGAGAGAGAGAAAGAAAGAGAACAGAGGAACGGCATGCATGAGGCACTCCGGGGCCACCGGCCCGAGCGAGCATTCCTCCATACACAGCACAGCACGCTGCCGGCTGGGGCCGGCTACTTTGTGCCGACGAGAAAATGAAAACAAAGTGAAACAAGCGAGGCACAATTACCTGGAAGCAGCCGCACCAGCCGCGGCGCCCTCGCACGGAGGCCGGCATGACGGCGAGCTTGGGCAGCTTGGGCAGCTTGGGCAGGTCCAGGTCCGGCAGGGCCAGCGGGGGCAGCTTGGGCAGCTTGGGCAGCTTGAACCCCGTCACGCACTCAGAGACCGCCTCGCGCACGCGGCCCGGGTCCCACGTCACACCCAAGTGGCACGCGGGGAGCACCTGCAACAGGAGGGACACACACAGATCAGCAAGTGCCACTATTTTCTACAAATTTTTCAAAGTTTTTTTTCGAGTTTTTTGAATTATGATTGAGTCTTTTTTTGACAGACCAAGAAGCCTGGCAAGAGAAAGAAAAACACGCACACACACAAAATTTTCCAATTTTCTGTCAGAAAGAAAACTTTTTGCAGTCATTGTGAACATCAGTTGTTTTTCGATTTAATTTTGTGTTTCGTCTTAGTTGGGGGCCCGCGACGACAACATATTTGCGCTCGCGTTCGTTGACCAGAAGCAGAGGGCAGCCGGGGGCTAGGTCAGCCCAGCCGTCAACCCCGCCAGACGGTCGACTCGATGCGACGGTCGTGAGGGTCGGGTCGGGTCGGGTCGCACGCTGCAGCCGTCCGTAGACAGTCAAACAGTCTCTCGCGGCGCGCCCCGCCCTGCCGCGCCGCCTTGTTCTGCTAATGGGTGGCGGGGCGCGGTGGGCGCGGTGGAGGCGAGACACCGTGGCGACGTCCACGACGTCCGCGACGACACGCAGCACGCACGCGGCGCGGCGCGAACGCGGGAGCGTGAGGAGGTTGTCAACTCGCCAGAGGAAAAAAAAAACTTCAAATATTTTCGAATCAAGTTATTCATTCCCACACACTGACCCTAGGCTACGTTACGTTGGGCGAGCCCAACCCAGCCCGGCCCGGCCCCCCTCCGCCGGCCGAAGAAACCGGGTGCGGAACCAGTCGGCATGCAGCTGGCGAGGCAACACGTGGCTCCGGGCCGCGCTGCCGGAGTGCCTGCCGGAGTGCCGGAGCCGCTGGAGGAGATGCCAAGTGCAACGCGGCGGGGCCGTGCCAGGACCGCCGGGACCGGCCGCGCCGTGTCCCGCTCACTCACTGCCTGACGTAAATGAGCGAAAGGGTTACAAGCTCGCATTCCGACCAGCTGTTATCTCAGGACACGCCGCGCAGCCTAACCTAACCTGCCACTCTGGGACGCTTCCATGGCGACTGCCCCCGGTGGGGAGGTAAATTTTAGAACCACTTTGGGGATTTCAAAATCAAACAATCGTTGCTTTTCCCGACCTCGGCTGACCCGATGATGCCCGGGCGGCCAGTGGCCTCTGGCGAGTGGTGCAGCATTACGACCAGACCGTCGTAGGAGTTCATGAAGCCGCCATAAAAAGCGCGCCAGCGTTTAGGTCTCCAGCAGCACCGCCCGCGGCCGCGTGGCGAAGCATCGCGAAGCAACGCCAAGCACAAGCACAGTGTAGCGACTGAGAGATAGCGCGGCGACTCCAGAGTATCGCACTGCCTGAGGAGGAGCGGAGCGGGCCAGAACGCGCTGCTGCAGTGCAGCCCGACTGGAACGCGCCCGGCCGGCCGCGCAACTTCGAGGACTCGCTCTGTCTCTCTCGCACACCTACGAGACGTCCAGCGAGTGCGACAGAGACAGAGCGACGCGACGCCTCCACGGACCGTGTCGCCGCGTGACGGTCGGACACGCCCGGACGCCGCGCACGCGACACGGCGTGTCGAGGAAGACGAGGGCGGCGACGACCACGCCGGGGACCTCGCGGGTCAAAGTCCTAGGCAGAGTGGGTTCCGCGACGAGGCGCCGCGACGCCGCGACAGGCAAGAGGTGGTTCCGGAACCGGGCCGACACGGCGTCGACGTGCAGCGCCGCGGCGACACGCAGCGGGCGCCAGCTGCGGTGCTCCGTCTCTCTCGCACCCCTACGCGGCGCGCCGCGAGCGCGAGAGGGACAGACACTGTTCGGCGTGTGCACGCGCCGCGGCGGGAAGTGGCCGAGCCCTTTAGGCGGACAAGGACTTCGGACTTCCAGCGCCCAAGTCCTCAAATCGGACTCGAATCAAACACACAACACTGGATTGCCCGTGCAACAGAGAGTCCATCTGTCCCTCGCGAGTTGGGTTCCATTCCATTTGAGGACTTCGGAACGAGATTAGAGGTGCCTCCGCCGAAACGGATCTTCTCCCCCGGCTCGCCGTTTGGGCACCCCGCCCGCCCGGGACCACATGCCGTGCCGTGCCGCCCGCTGCCAACGCACTTGATCCCTCCCTTATGTAACGCGGACTGCATTCCGCGCGGCCAGCGGCCACAATGCGCAGGGCAGGTCCCTGCCGCCCGCCGCCCGTCTCGCTCGCACTCACGGCGCGTCCCGTGAGGGCGCGACAGAGACAGAGTGATGAAACGACCCTCCGGAGTCGGGCCGGCGAGGAGGCCGCCGCGCCGTTTAGCGAACGGTTGGGCAACGCGGCACGGCGCGGCGCGGCGCCGGCCGGCCGGTGCACACTCCCTCTCCTTCATAAAGCTAATCAACGCCGCGCGCTGCCGCCCGCGACACCGCCGCGACACCGCGCGCCCGGCCTGATGAAGCAGTGCCTGCCCGGAATGGCCCGCCCGCTTGCGACACACCACGACGACGTCCACCGGGAAGGGAAGCGGGTCGGCAGGCTGTCCGTCTCTCTCGCACCCACACGGGACGCGCCAAGCGTGCGAGAGAGACGGAGCGCCTGGCGGGTAGGCCGTCCCGTCGAACAGGCGTGCGCCAAAGGCGAGCGGCGGCCTACCTCGCGGGCGTTCTCTCCGCCTGGCCCGAGGCCTGGCCGCGCACCAAGCCGCCGTGCCCGTGCAGGGGGCGGGGCGGGCGCAGCCTGGCGTTACGTGATTTACGGGCGACCCCCCGGCGGGGACGGCGAACACAACAAGGGCGTGTGCGCGACAGGGACGGAGTCTGCGGTCGAGCCGCGACGCCACACACACCCTTGTCTCAGAGATTGTGCGTGTGTGTGTGTGCGCGCCGTTTAGGGCACCGCGGCGTCGGGGCCGACAAAGTGCAGGCTGCTCCACATGATGGGGTTGGGAAGGCCACCGCCTCGCCGCCATCGCCGTGCTCGGCGAGGAGGTGCCAGGCTCGGGGGAGTGGCGCCGCATTACCGCACTTTCAAGGAATACCCGCTCGCTCCCCGGCGAGGCGCGGCTTCTCGCCAGGGCTCTATCCTTGGCGGCGAGACGGCGGCGGCGGCGGCGGCGGCTTCGAGTCGCGGCGCGCTAATCTTGAAAAGTAATTACACACAAAACCTTTTACTCGCTCGGCCCCGCGCCCCGGCGACAAGTGCGCGCGGGGGGACGTTGGAGGAGGGCGCGTCTTCGGCTGCGAGAGAGGACCGCACGTCGCCGACGAAGAGTTACGGCCTCTAACCATACGCTTCTTGCACCAGCAGCGCCAGCGCCACCCCGAACCCGAGCGCGGCGCGGCATGTGTTTTGTGATAGTCATCAAGCAGCGGTTCGAACCTTTTCCCGCCGTAAATCAGTTTCGGCGGGACGGCGAGGCGCGGCGAGGCAAGGCGAGGGCCCAGCACGCCCGCCACCGCGGCACTGCAGTCGTATCCCGGAAAGGGCGGGGTTTACACCCGCTTTGCATAAGACGAAAGCGATCGGGATTCGAACTTTGACGCCGAGGTGCCGTGCCCGGTGCTCGAGGCGCGTAGCTGCCACTGTTCTCTCAGGCGATGCGGGCTGAGTCCGCCGGCTGCCCGTCGTCGTCGGGGACCTCCCCCGGGGCACTGGCTGGAGCGCGCCTCGCCTAACGGCGCCGCGACGGCGACATCGGGCGGCCGAACTCCGTTCAATTAGCGCGATGAAAGTCAGCGCGGAAGTAGGTATGGGATTCATTATGCCGGCAAAGGAGCGGAGGGGGAGGCTAATTTCTCCTTGGATGTGCCGCTGAGCGTGCCTCCAGTCTCTCCACTATCGCATTTGCGTGGGCCGTGCCGGGGCGCCAAGCCAGCCCGCAACGGAACGAGGCGCGCCACGCCACGCCACGCCACGCCACGGCGCGGCAAGGCAAGGCCCACCGGGCACTATCGGCGATCGCGAGGGGCGGGGCCATACATCAGACGGGGCCACCTGTCCGATGTCACCGACTATCGCGTACGTGTGTGCGCGCGCGTGTGTGTGTGTGCGTGAGTGAAAAAGCTACCTCATCCCGCGAC